GAATTGTATAGAAAAAAATAAAATACTCATTCCAGAAGCCTTCTTTGCTCTCCGCGCTAATTTTGTTTTTTTAACTCTGACTTCTGCTGAATTCGTTGGCCTTATGCAATTAATTTTTAATTATGATCGTGCCAAAGAAGCGAGAGAATTTTAGTTTTTACAAAAGAAACAAACTGTATACCCGTTTATATTATTAATTTTATTCTACCAGCCCAACTTTGGTTTTATTGAGATAGCTTGAAAAAACATTTTCGTTGGGAGGGGGCGGGGGGAGGGCTAAAGATAGTGTAAAGGAGGCTATAGCGAGGTGCCACGTTTAACTGAAAACCTCCTCTTTTCATTAGCTGTTGGCAAGTAAAATTTATTCCCAAATTATGAAGTATTTTACTGAAAAGAAAGGAGAATTGTTAAAAAGATTAGTGTTCTCCTTTGTTAGCATGAAGAAAGTTGAAAAAGCTTCTTTATTTGGAAGGCTACCCTGGCTGCGAGAGGCTTAAAAAAAAATTCAACAACCTTTACAAAAATTTACTTAGGAATTTACCTAAAACATCCTTTTCCGGGGTCGTACGTAAATCTATCTGCTAAACTTATTCCGGGTCAAAGTAATTACTTGTGTAACTTCTGCGGCGACACCTTAAGAACTTCAGGGTCTCAATTTTTGAAAAAATTAGTTCAGCATGTTTTTCTTTTTTAAGTTTGCAGATTCCGGCATCTCTGACCTGTATTTCTTCCCTTTACACTTTTAAAATTCTCTTTCGTAAAGAAGGAAAATAATGAAACTATCTCTTTGGATGATTCCCCACCTTTGGAAAATCCCCACCCTTAGTATTATCGGAAGGAATGACCTCTGTTGAGTCCGCTATTGCTGTCACAGTGGTGATGCAATTTAATACGGGGGGGGGGGGGGGGGAGCATTATGAAAGCTTTAGGTCTTACGTTTCAATACTTATTGGAATTCACCCATTTCTAGATTTACCTTGGTTACACTGCCACACTCCAACTATTTATTAGAGAAGCGGGCAAGGCTATTATACAGGTGTTTGGTGAGAGGATAATATGGCCTTACTTACGTGCATGGAAGCGTTGCGACATTAAAATGTACTCGGCTTAAAATTCTATTAATAAGTATGCCATAAGCTCCATTATATTTATGTTTGAGGTTTAACATGAGGGGCTACTACACCCCCTCTGCTGCCTCATAAAATGAAAGAGGGGTTTCCACGAAACTACTACCAGGCATACTCGGACGTTTCGACATGAAAAAAATTGGTTTTCCTCCCCACCGACCTTACGTCCCTTTTCAGCTAGTGAATCAAATACTTCGCCAGAATAATTATATAATGCTTTGCCTAAGGGTTGGAGACGGCCCTCGTTTAGTACATTAAAAAAGTTAGATGCTTTTTTGTTAGAAGTTTAACGACGAAATAAGATTATATGTAGAATTTTGCGAGCTAAATGCCGTTAAAGTTGCTCTTTTTTGAACATCTGTTATCATTATCATTCTGGCGAGAATTGTTACTAGACTTGGATTACCTGATGCCTATCTTTTCTTGAAAATAAAAGACGAATTGAAAATGGCTATTCCTTATCCACGTGGCATATTTACGTACCCTTTGGTCTTACTAATACACGGTATCTTTAAAAAACTATTGGGCAAAGTTGTTGTCATCTATCTTGATCTTTTTTTAGCAAAGATCCCTTAACCGGTGTTCTGTATTCTGAAATTTGTAGTTGTGTATCCGGTATTTATGTTTAGATCTTTTTTAGGTGGTTTTCTGTACTGAGTTACTTAGTAATTTTTTCTTGTTATAAATGAATGTTGAAGGATCATTTGTATGTATACATGTAGTGTTTTTTCGTGGTATCCTGAGGAGCATGATGCCAATGTAGGTAAGGTTTCCAAAAATGTTCTTTTGACTAAGAGAAAGTCGATTTTTTTGGTTATGTAATATCTTCAGAAGGTTTAGAGGCGGATCCTGCCAGAGTATAATGCGTTTGGAATGACTCGCACCACAGAGTTAATAAAGCAATTTTAAATTTAAACATTAATTTTAAAGCCTTCGAGTGAACTGCTTAATAGAAAGTCTGGGTTTATTTGAAAAGAGCGACAAAACTTTATTTTTCGTAGAGTTAGTTAGGGCCCCCACTCGGGTGGTCCTTTGAGTTTGACTATATCGTGGCAGGTTATCTGCAACTGCAACCGGAAATAGATGATAAGAGGGACTAACCATGCATTTGGTAAAAACATGCTACTCCTCATTATTGGCGATAATTATTAACCAAATATGGTAATGCGCCTGCAGCTAGATTTCATGTGCACTCTTGCCAGGCTGCAGTTTAAAGAGGCCCCTTCCTTTTTTTAACTCGGACTTCAATCATTATAGAGAATCAACTCAAGTGATTATGCTTACAAAGTTTTCCTAAGTTGAAAATATATTCTACAGGACTGTACTTTGTACAATTTTCTTAAAATAGTTTACCAAAAAGTTAAATTCATACATACCTAACAAAGAACCACTGACCCTTTTGATATGGCATGACGTTACTCCCAATTTCTTCACAATCCATTACAGTAATGACATGTCATAAAAACCTTAATTACCTTTACAATAAAGCAGATTTTAAACCGACGTTACGTCGTATATATATTTTAGACATACCCCACTGCTCAAAATGTTTTTTACGTGAGCTCTAACTTAGAAGAATAAATCAGTTTATGCTAAGCCCCCCAAATAATTTTTTTGTATCTGTCGCAATTTCTATTACTTCTGGGGGCACAGCTAAGGTATTTGTGGATCGGTATCCGGGGTTTATGAAATCATCCGTAGTTGATGGAGTCCGACAACACACTTCAAATGTGGCATCACTTTAAATAGTAGGGCAGTAACTCCGCTTTTTCAGAGGATCACTTACAGGATGACTGGTAAGATTCTTATCTTTTGCCGAGCTTACTTATAATGACAACACTAACTCGTTAACTGGAGCTTACCCTTTTTGGAGCCCGTCACTTGGCCCTGTACTACTAAGTCATTCCTTCTTACCTACTGCTAGAACCCCGCCTACTCTTTTTTTTTTTTTGATGAAGATTGATTCAATTAAGGGAAGTTGCTCCAGTCACCGAACCGTTAACTTCTGAAGACCGTTAACCATTTCCCGCCCTTTACAGTTAAGATCGGGAAAATTTAAAAATTAATCATAGGTATCTGAGGTTCTTTTAAGGTTATCGATCATTTGGGGGCATACAAACTAAATTTGACGAACTAGATAGAAAAGAACCAACCTTATGGTCCCAGAAGGTACCTAGTGTCGTTAGCCATCACTCACTGCTAGGGCAGTCACAACGTGTGCTTTCGATCTTTCCTACTCGCACTGAACGGCATCATATCTAGGAACATAGCAACTATTGTCGATAGCACAGACAGGGTTCAATGGCTCTACTTAATCGTATATGAGAGTAGGTGATATTAGTAGGCAATACCAGTATAAAAAAGCGAAACTCCCAAGTACTAAAGCTGAAGGTCATTTAGCTTATACAGTTTAATAGTTAGAAAGCAACAAGAGTCAATCACTAGGGACACAGGTTCTCGCCACCAAACTTTAAGGCGCCAGTCCAAGGTAGGTTGATGCCCGTAGTCTGCGTCTTAGATGTAGTAAAAAAAACACTTACCGAAGGACACAAGACAAACTGCAGGCTTCACCAATTTTAAAAGCGAAGCTTTCGCCCCAAGGATCTAGTCGGATATCTCCTGTAACTATTCTGTAAAATGTCCCATCTATACCAGAGATTTACTGAGGAAGGCACCCATAATCACGCTACTTTGACTTGCATGTTATAAGTGGTTCTGACCGTCAAATCGGAAGCTAGCTCTTGCACAAATTAGATACACAAAAAAGGGAGCCCAAGAGAATTACGCCCATAACACCTCAGAAGAGTAGAGGGTGACTTGGCCACCCTCAAAATGATATTAGTTTAAACATAAATTTCCTCTAAGTATAGCCCCCATTTGTCAACTCTAAACCTTACTCCGCAGGAAAACGCATGGAAAACAACGCAGGGTTAGGCGCCCTTCTTTTATAGGTAAGATTCTTTTCTTGCGCTTTACAATGGTGGCCTAAGATCAAGGAGCAATCCACGCTCACTAAAGAGAGTGCAATCATTGGATGAAAACTACAGTTAGCCTTCAATCAAATGCATCCATTGCCTCGGGGTCCTACCACTAATAGGTCACCCTGCTAGCTGAGGACTAACGTAAAATATCCTAGTTTAAAAATCGTGACTGGGTACTAGTCTAGATCGCTGTGTACACGCCCAATGATGGATGCAGAACACAATTCTGACTAAAATTAGAAAGTTAAAGATTAAAGATGCAAGCATCGTGCAGGAACAAGGTCGCGCCTCGAAGTACCAGCGTACTGTTTCGTATCTTATACATGGTTCTTGCGAAGCTTAATTATTAAAATTAGTCTAAACTATTGAATATGCATGGGATTATATTGGAAAAGGACATACAATTGTGTCGATGTTACTCTTCCTAGTTATGAATTTCACTGCTCCCAATTATTCAGTCATAATAAATAAATACACTTCTTTCCATTATGTGATTGTATCAGCCAAGATTGACTCATAAGCCAACTACAGTTTTATTACCGGAGAAGTTAACGAAAACTTACCTAGGAGGCCTGGCCACTGCTTTATTTACAACTTCATTGGAAGGACTAATTTTAGAGTCAATAACTCAATTTATGAAAAGAATCCCACTTAATATTGCTATATAGATGAGCCGGTAAAGGTATTTCATCCTTGATTTTGTTCGTGGTTAAAGAGGTACATAATACATGCATATAAATCCTCGCTCTAGTGAAAAGTTTCATTTAAATGATTATAGGTCGTAAAGTGTCAATGAAAATAAAAACTAAATTCAAAAATTTTAGCAACTTTTTATAAGTCACAAGATTTCTTGCAGGTCCTTTTATTCTTAAAGTATTATCGTAAACCCCATACAGTAGATATCTACTTATTTAGGTCTCTGGCTTGCTGGCTTTTGAAAGTAGAAATAGTGTTCCCAGTAGCTTCAATGCAACTTAGCGTCGGGAGAAGAAGAGAAAAGCTAGCACCAAGAGAGTATCTTAATGGAAAGCCCACCTTTACTCTGTAAGCAAGTGCTATTAAATACCTAATCTCGCCTTCTATCTAGTGGAGGTCAGAGCTTCGTAACAATAAAGAACAGGGCAGTCAAAGAATCTGAACTGTCCGCACTAGATACCCAATCCACGTAGAGTAATAGTTTTATCTAAATGGGAAAAGTATGTCAGCACATTGATAAATGGTAATAATACCACCCATACCTCGTTTATTCGGATGGGCCTCGTAGTGAAGAATCCCCCGGTGTATGTGAACTGAGGGGGAACGTATTGGGCGTATGCTCCTCAATATCAGTTAAGACAAGCGACTGCTCACTAGGTACTACTAATAAAGTTAACTCTAAAGGCAATATGCCATTAATTTTGTATATATAGCCAAACGGCCAAGCAGGTGGATCAGAGGATCAAAGTCAGTAACTCAAAAATAAGTACCAATATGAAGGCAGTCTGATCCCACAACGCCTTAAAAGCGGTAAAAGCGTTGTTTAGAAAAGTGAAAGTTGTCAGTAGCTGGAGATGGTAAAAGGGATCAACTCCGAAGGACTCAAAAAAATTGATTCAGTACCTACAAGCTTGAAAGCAAAACGTTTTTGGTGTTCCATGCTTTGTCTCAAGCAAAACCAATAGGTGGTTGCGACAATAGTTCATAGCAAGCATTTGCCATAACGTTAGTTGCTGCTATTATTGTTGCTGTCGCTTTGTCTTTGCTCTCAACGGGTGTTCTTCAAAAATCTGGACTACAGTTTAACATTCTATTAAAATAAATAAGATATAACCAGCAAAAGTTTATGCACATATTTAACTAGTATAGTTGATAACAAAAAAAAAAATTTAACTTCAAATACAACGCTACTTCTTATAAAGTCGATTATTTTCTAAGTGGACTCAGAAAACCTCAGTACAGCATTAACGTCTATTCTCTTCAGTATTAATCCATGTTATCAACTGCGTTGTGTTTGTAGCTCGCCACCCTCTAGCATAAAACCTTCCTTTCAAACCGAGCTTCAGGGCGATTAGCTGGGTTGTCCTCTTTTTCTATAAAGTTGGAATTGACCTTTATTTAATAAGGTCAACGAGTAAACTTAGGAATATTGATTGCAAATCCAGATATAGGAATAAATGGACGACTCAATCCTTTTGGCCCAATAGCGATACATACCGGCGCTTTGCCTTAAATATGCTTTAGTGGCAACTTCGCACTTGGAGATGCTCTAGAAGTAGTGAGTGAGAGTAAAATATGACTCGTCATCTATAATAAAGGCATAATTTTAAAATTAAGCTAGAAAAGACCGCACTTTGGTTTTGCAACTTGAATTTGACCTTTCTAAACGCTTTGGTATAGTTTGTTTTCTCCAACAGTTTAAATTTATTTTATTCATACAATATCACACAAATAAGATGGGCTTACGCCAGATATTTTTGCGCTGCGCCGCTCCCCTAAGCGAAGAGAATATGATTCACTATTTTTAAACACTTTCTTGCATTTCGAGAGTTGCTGTTCAGTGATTTTGATAGCTTTTTTTTACGATCAGTTTCTTTTTTTTCTATCCGCGCTCACTCCACGCTTAAAACGTTGCATTATACTGAATTGCAACAAAATGTTTGTAAGTTTATGATTTGCCACAGGCTCTGTAATGCTCATTACAATTATACACGCTATTCCTCAGAGATGCTTTTTTCGACGCCCTTTTCCTGAACTGCTGAAACAATTTAACTTTTGGTTTATATTTTCAAGTATTTCACTACATATGGTGTTGTGGCAAAAATAGGACATTTTAAAATTAGTCCAGACCTCTAAAATACACCCGTTGATAAAGCGGTATGGAGATTGTGGGAGTAACTTAAGGAGAGAACTCTTCCAGAGGTAATATGACCTTCGAAGAAAATGTTTGCAACCACGGGAGTTGGCCGTGTGCGGCTTGCAATATTTTGCAATATTAGCTGGTACCCTTATTATATATCTGTGCGAGGGTCAGCATGCGGAATATATAGAACGGGGTACTATGCTATGGGATGCTCTTCTGTATGCAAAAAATGGTCGTTAATTATTAAAATTTAGCAAATTACACTTCGTACACATATGTACCACACCAAAATTAGAGAGGGAGAGGCCATTCAAAATATATGGAATGATTTTACTTACCTGTAAAGGGTATAAATACCGTTCGAAAACAGGTCAATTAATAGTTTTCTTGTATAACATTCATACTCACATTGTATTTTACGTATGCTTTTATTAAGTATCTCTTTATGTTAAAATTTTTAAGACTGAACATCTATGCTTATAAATTAACAGTTTAACAGTTTATCTGTTCAGGGGCCATTACTCACTAATTACCTTTTATATTAAACAAATAAGCCATTAAGTAACAGAGTACCATTCCAAAAACTTTTCACTTTATTATAAGTATTTTACCCTATATCTATACAAGTATTAAGATTTTAACTGGACCCTTATAGTTATTACCTTACTGTAAGACCCTCTAAGTAAAACCATCCAGTTTTTATATGTGGGTTCATTGGTCTCTTATTCCCGTAATTTGTTAATGGAGTACTAAAGGTAGTTCCGTTAAACTGAGCTCAGCAGGACGCTATGGTTGGTGGTTATTTTAACATTTTATACGTACAGTTCTCATAGGTTAGGGTATAAATATTAAGACTAAAAATCTTTTATTTTACTACTAGTCTTTAAATTGTTTTTATTACTATTATTATTTCATAATTACTTTTGCGATTACTATTACTGTGTCTTATAATAATTTGTGTTTTATAGGCAATGTTAGTGCCCTCTTCCTTATTAAGTGCAGACAACCCTTGGATTTATTTTCTATACTAATTCTTGGTAAACTTAAGGTTTACCTAAAAGTTGAAGAGTTAAGTATGAATTATTAATTATTCCATTGTACCATTTATTAATATCAAGTTCATCCATCCATTTTATTATTGACTTAAGAAGAACACACTAGATTAAAGAGTGTTCAATCAATAAACAAACCATATAATGGACTTAGAATGAAATTCTACATCTATATGTTAAAGCCGTCAGTTCCAAGGAACTTCTTTGGATTTTTTATTTGTTTCTTAAAAGATATCTTAATTTCGTAGTAGTTAAACTTGGAGATTCGAGGGAAATTATTTATTTTTTTTATAAAAGTAAAAAATTAAATTAAATAGTATTAAAAAAAAAATAGCTTTGAGCGAGAAAGCAGGTGATATAAGAAAACATACGGCACAGGTCCTCAGCCCGTTTCCATCACGCCCAAAACTTTATAAAAGGCGTCTTTATGTACACAAAATTATGAGGAAAATCGTTTCAGTTATAACTACCAAAAAGAAAAGTCTGTAAAATGTAATTAAAAAAATTATACAAACTAATATAAAAATGCGTGAACCACCCCCCAGAATTACACGATTATGACTTATTTACCCTAAAGACCGAGTTTGTAAACTAAGGACTAACTAAACCGTTCAATGGCTTTTTCGATAGTTAGTCTCGCATCTAAATACGAACAAAATTCTATGAATCATTTTTTAAGATTACCCTCATAAACATCAATAAAACACAGTTAATCTATAAAATTACGATTATTGCAGTGGCGTCATATATAGGTGAGCAACCGTTTAACTTTATAAAACAGGATTTATAAATTTTTATTGGTGCCTTTCATCTCTTACCTTGCTTGTTTCGTTTACAGGGACTTAACCATTAATGAAAACCAAATTAATTAAAAAACTAATAACTTACCTAGTTGCTGAGGAAGCTAACCAATACAACAACAGTGAAAATTCTATAAATCTTATAAATATTATGCAGAAAGTGACAGATTTAAAATAGAATTTCAATAAATGAGAAAGTTGTCTTTCATGTCACATAACCCAAAAAATTTTATAGATTTATTAAAAAAATTGAACAAATTACAATTATCTGGACTTATTCTTTTAACTGTACGATTATATTATCGATACTAAAATGACTAATGTGGAAAAAATTAATTTAACTCGTCGTGCTAAAAATTAAAAATTTCACTTCATATATTTTACTTCTCTAAAATTATGCTAGGCTTTTTACTTTAAGCACTCTCAATGATCCAATTATGTTGGTAATAATCAATCCTATCGCAGGGAATGCATTTATCTGCGTTTGCAGATCCCTTTTCGTGTAGGGTGCCATTTTAAAAACTATGGTAATCCCTAAGCTTTTTTGATACCGTGAAGACCATAGTTTTTCTACTCGGTTTGTTAAAGCCAGTGTGTGGTTGTCTGGTGTGTGCGGCGATCGATAGTGAAAATGAAAAACCTTTTATTTTATCGGCTATTAATGACAATAAGCTATCAGAATTTTTATGCTAGATATATATATATACATATATGTATAATAAGAGATGTTAGAAACTTATGTATTACAAGGAGATAATTTTGTTTACCGGTGCTAGAAGCGATATTAAACTTGAAAAATTTTCCTAAGCGATTAACGCTAAAAAAATTTTTTTTAAAGATAAAATGAATATTTTAATAAACTTGAGTTCAACCTTAAAGATCAAATCAATTCTTTGATCAAAAGCTTCTCACCTCATTATATTAAAAGCTATATTTTGAAAAGCACAAAATATTACAGATTTACCTGCAAACATATGGAGTGTCTTTTGAAAGCAACATACGCTAAAAAACAGGTTTTATGAAGACTTCATCAGCTAAGCCGAGGCATGGAACTTACCTACACTCTACCGTCTTAAACTAAGATTAAAGGAAGAAAAGATGCAGCAGCAAAAACCGAAAACTCTCATGTTAAGAAAAACCCAAAGGAAGATTGTGTAAGATGAAATCCGGGTTATAATGAGTTGCTTCTACAAGATGGGCAGAAGTTGCAGATGTGTCAAAATTGGCCTTTTTGAAACCTAATGCAAGTTTTAGGCCTCTCGCGACCTATTCCAACTTGTTAAAAAAAAAGGGCATACGACCCCTTACTAGGCCTACGCAGCTTTTTAACACAGCTCTTGGTAACAATTTTTTTCAGTACGACAGCATACTAGATTATAGTGCTAGAGATCAAGCAACTCTAAATTTGAAACTTTTAAAAAATTAAGGATCGGACAAGTACTGTTGACGAGTTTCAATGCATAAATAGAAGGACCATTATATGGAAGTAGAGACGCCCTTTTACTCATCTAAATTTTACCATGGCAGCCTGGAGGATTATGTGATAAGAGAACTGATTTAATAACAAGTACATCAGCTTTCAATAATTTTTATTGAGACGGCACTAATAGGAATTGTCAGAGGATCTATTTTACTTAAAAACGAAAACTCTCGCAACCCTACGAACTAAGCGCGAGTGACACGAACCTTGAAGGCGGAAGTAAACTTCACTCGCATAAACGAAGGTGTTTGCGCTGAAGCTAACATTAAAAGGGAGGGGGTGGCGTTAGTATGCATGATAAAATTTCCTGCCTAGATATCTGCAAGAAACTTGATAAAACCTTCACGGTCATAATCTCTATCTTTTAACAATAGTATGTAAAAAAAAAAGCATTTTATCTTGGTAGCATTTAATAACTAGAACTAGAAAAATGATTTACACGAGATGTCACCGTTTTTATGTACATGTACATTTGTAGGATATATTATCTTCTGTAACAAGATAAAGAGAAATAAAAAAATAAGAGTTGTGTTTACATTTGGTTTGTATCGCTAAGATATATAAATTTAGTTAGATATTTTTTTAAGATTAGAATAGATCTGTAATATTTT